CCCGGGGCGCCGCTGGATCCGCCCCTCTCATCCCGGCCCCGGGCGTCCTCCGCGCCCAGGCTCCAGCCCGGCCGAGGAGAGGTGCTGCTCCTGCAGTCGGCACCCAGCGCCGGAAATTCCAGGGATGCAGATAGAGCAGAATTTGTTTTCCTTTTGTACGTCGTGAAAACCTGCCAGGTTCTGGGTGCTTGAGCCGTCTAAAAGTGCAAGGACCCTGGGCTTTTCAACTGAAGATCCAAGAGAAAGTGTTACAATGAATTTGGAGAGTTGGAAGGAGCCCTAGTGGTTGGTGAATATCTGTGGTGTCTGCCTGGTATCTGCAGCAGCCTCTGGGCTGCTCGCCTGCAGGACAAATGGAAGCCGGAGACCCGAAGGAGCCCAGCTCCCAGCCCCCTCCGCCAACTGCTTGTCTTCCTCCAGGAACGACGCGAGAGGCCAGAAGTAGATTTAGTTGAATCTTTCTGCACCATTTCAGTAGGATTTATTCAGATCTGCTTAGTAAATTCCTTCTGTAGGAAACGTTGGGATGGTCCAGCTGTACAGTGTTAAACGGCTTTTATGAACTCAGTTTCAGAGTGTGCAGTTAACTAGGAGTTAGAGATCATCTTGATTCTCTTTCTTTGAATTATGGCCAGTATTTCTGTGTTTTACAGGACCTTTTATTCAGTAGAAATGCATCGAACAACCAGAATCAAGATCACTGAGCTCAATCCCCACCTAATGTGTGTGCTTTGTGGAGGGTACTTCATTGATGCCACCACCATAATAGAATGTCTACATTCCTGTAAGTACACGCAGCTCCCTTTTTGTGTAGTATTATATAAAGTCCCTCCTGAACCTTAAAAACGCAAGAAGTCTTACAGTCCTTGAGCATTTTGGTGCAACGTGGTAGGATTACTTTTCTTCTATTGCATTTAGTGACTTTTTGTTGTTACCCATTTTAAAAATTACAAGCATGCAGTGTGTGTTCTCAGGGTACTGTTTGACTTCGATTATTTACTTGGAAGTACCTTTTGGCATTTACCATCTTGCTTCTACTAATTCTCAATTTCTGATGCTACATTTTTAATGCTTTGGAGTTTAGACTCTGAACTTACAAAAACTTTGCCTACTTCTAGTCTGCAAAACGTGTATTGTGCGTTACCTGGAGACCAGCAAGTACTGTCCTATCTGTGACGTCCAAGTTCACAAAACCAGGCCACTGCTGAATATAAGGTAGGAAGATGTTTCAACCCTTGTTTGTAATTGTTACACAAGTCTGTAATTTACACACGGGGATGGCAGTCATGCTTTGTCTTCACAGAAAATTTGTTCTTGAACATCTGTTTTGTGGAGGGTAACTTTAATTTCTTGGCATTTTAATGACCAACCTTGGGCAAAATTCATTATTATTTCAGTGATTTTTAAGGTGTTTTTTTTTTCTAACTGTCCTTTAAAAACTAAATTAGTTTTCCTTTTCTGCATTGCTCTATTGACTTCATGATAGATAAGAATAAATGTTTAAAAAGTACTTCCATACTCTTCACTCATATTCATGAATTTAGTAACTGCAAAGGCACACTTATCTTGACTTACCAAATGTGAAATTATTAGTGAATGTGAAAATGTTTCTTCTGATTTAAAACTAAACTACATAGAGAACTTTTATTCTCATAATCGTTATGTTAGTGTATAGACAGCATTATGATCAAGTAAAACAAGGAATCTATAAATATTAATGAACTTTTTTTGCCATATTAATTAGTGGTTTACTTTTCTAATTTATTCTTTCTCAGGTCTGATAAAACACTTCAAGATATCGTATACAAATTAGTTCCAGGGCTTTTCAAAAGTGAGTAACTTGCTTAAGTGAATTTAAAGAAAGTATGCCATGGTTTTACCTGCTATAATAACTGTTTAAATCTCTTGCCCCCACTTCAGATGAAATGAAGAGAAGAAGGGATTTTTATGCAGCTCATCCTTCAGCTGATGGTAAATTTTTTAGTGGGCAGAAGATATTTTATTTAGAGGGCAAATTATCCAGTACTTAAAAATTCATTAAAATTGAGTTTATTCTAAAGTACCCCTTCTGTTCTCCTATATGTAAAATATTTTAATGAAAAGTTCAATTTTTAAAAATAATATTTCAGGAGGGGGTGAAGGGAGGGCAGAGGTAAGGGGAAAAAATGAGAATCAAGACTTGCCATGTAAAGGTACATGATCCCAACAATGAATGTAACTGTACTGTATCCCTAAAATGTACCAATAAACTCAATAAAATTTTAAAAAAATAATAATAATATTTCAAATGTCTTTGTAGCTGCTAATGGCTCTAATGAAGATAGAGGAGAAGTTGCAGATGAAGAGAAGAGAATTATAACAGACGATGAGATAATAAGCTTATCCATTGAATTCTTTGACCAGAACAGGTAAATTATCTGGGAAATCTATTTGATACTAATATGTTTATTCAATACATGGTTTCACTAATAATTTTTGTTTCTTAGATTGGATCGGAAAGTAAACAAAGACAAAGACAAGTCTAAGGAGGAGGTATGTTTTGTGTTATGAAAATACAATGAACAAACTGGATTCTTGATTTTATGAGGGGTAATGTTGCCCTTTAGAATATTCTAGGGGCAGATAATTCTGTTAAATACAAGAAAATTGTATGTTTGATATTTAAGAGAATCTGTGTGATATTTAATGCTTAGAATTTATTTTATAGATATTTGCTGTTCTTCTAAAGTATTTTACATAGTTCACATTTAATATACTCGTTTGATTGTTGTACTAATTTGTCTCCTTGTAGTATTTATAGTAATAGTAAATTCAAAGTATACTTGAGTTTAGTTGCATCGAGTTTTGGTATTAGTATCTTTTTTTGCATTTAGGCAATCAAATTGAAAATTCTGTCAATCTGAAAGGAAGCTGAAAAAACGCTACTTTTATAAATGTGTTTTCAGGTGAATGATAAAAGGTATTTACGATGCCCAGCAGCAATGACTGTGATGCACTTAAGAAAGTTTCTCAGAAGTAAAATGGACATACCTAATACTTTCCAGGTATCTATTGTATAGTCTTTGTACACTTATGGAGTTGTAAAAAAAACTATATTTTTATTTTTGGATTGTGAAACCAAAAACACAATAGGTCAAAATACAAATTTATTGCTAAAGTTGAAAGATATCTCTTAAAATATTTTGGATAAATTGCTTTTTAGATGTATAGCAAATCCCTTGATAATTTTTAGAAATATTTTTTCCTCATTTGAAGTTTTAAGGAAGATTTTTTTTTTTTTGTCCCTGTTTGGGAAAAATGTGTTCTAAAGCATTTTAGATGGTGAAAATATGTAGATTTACGTTTGTTTTTGTGTTACTAAATACTTGAAATATTTTTCAATAGATCGACGTCATGTATGAAGAGGAGCCTTTAAAGGATTACTATACACTAATGGACATTGCCTACATCTATACCTGGAGAAGGGTAAGTAGCATATCCACTCTACAGTCAGGTGTCAAGGGCATGTAAAGATTTAAGAGTGACTCTTTTCCCCCTTTTAACTTGGCAGAATGGCCCACTTCCTTTGAAATACAGAGTTCGACCTACTTGTAAGAGGATGAAGATCAGTCACCAGAGAGATGGACTGACAAATGCTGGAGAACTGGAAAGTGACTCTGGGAGTGACAAGGCCAACAGCCCAGCAGGAGGTATTCCCTCCACCTCTTCTTGTTTGCCCAGCCCCAGTACTCCAGTGCAGTCTCCTCATCCACAGTTTCCTCACATTTCCAGCACCATGAATGGAACCAGCAGCAGCCCCAGTGGTAACCACCAATCTTCCTTTGCCAATAGACCTCGAAAATCATCAGTAAATGGGTCGTCAGCAACGTCATCTGGTTGATTCCTGAGACTGTTAAGGAAAAAGTTTTAAACTCCTGATTTATATAGATATCTTCATGCCATTACAGCTTTATAGATGCTAATACATGTGACTATCGTCCAGTTTGCTTTCTTTTGTAGTGACATTAAATTTGGCTGTAAAAGATGGACTAGATGTGATACTCGTATGGACATTAATTGAAAAGAAAGATTATTCCTATAAAGAATTGGATTCTGGGAAGGCAGGCAAGATTTTTTACTGTGTTAGGAAAGATGTGAAATGGTTTCTGTAACTGATGTTTGGATACTCTGCAGTGGACAGAAGCATTGGGCCATATTTTGTTAATCTCAACTAATGCCTATGTTACATTCTCCTTGATTGTTCTTGTTATCATGCTGTTTTGTGAACCTGTAGAAAACAAGTGCTTTTTATCTTGAAATTCAACAGATGGAAAGAATAAACATAGAATAATGCATTCTATGCAGCCATGTCACTGTGAATAACAATTTCTTGCATATATTTAGCCATTTTGATTCCTGTTTGATTTTTATTTCTTTGTTGCTACGCAAAACCGATCAAAGGAAAGTAAACTTCAGTTTTACAATCTGTATGCCTAAAAGCGGGTACTACCGTTTATTTTACTGACTTGTTTAAATGATTCGCTTTTGTAAGAATCTGATGGCATTATGCTTGTTGTACAATGCCATATTGGTATATGACATAACAGGAAACAGTATTGTATGATATATTTATAAATACTATAAAGAAAATATTGTGTTTCATGCATTCAGAAATGGTTGTTAAAATTCTCGGTTCGACCTTTGCAGATACCCATACTCTACATTCAGGGTGGCTTACCAGCATAGAATATTTTTAATGTTGATAATCTAGTTCGAAATTCTGCTCCATTGGAAGCAATTGGCAAATAACCATTATACTGACTTCTCCATTAATACATGTTTACTTTTGAAATTGTTGCAGTAAAGAAAAACTTTATAAGGAATTCAGAAATGTCTTAATTTTTCATTGGTTATAGTGGAATTAATGTTTTTAAATGCCTATTTCTCACTGTAATTATAAAAATTTTAAGTAAACCAGGTAATTTCTGGGAGAAGGCATTTTGTCTGAAGTTATTTTAATATGTTCTATAATAATTTCAAATTTAAGAATTGTTTTAACAGTTAATCATGGAATATGCCTTCTTTGTAATGTCTAGAAATAGAAGCTATTTACCAGAGCTTCTACAGGAATTTTTAAATATAGCAAGTATGTTAACTTTAAATATCAATAACCCCAAGAATTGTCAGTTTGTGTTTTGCTTTGGTCGAACTTGGTGTGTGTTCATCACCCATCAGTTATTTGTGAGGGTGTTTATTCTGTATGAATATTGTTTCATGTTTGTATGGGAAATTGTAGCTAAACATTTCATTGTCCCCAGTCTGCAAAAGAAGCACAATTCTATTGCTTTGTCTTGCTTATAGTCATTAAATCATCACTTTTGCATATATTGCTGTTACTTCAGCTTTCTTTGAAAGATTCAGTAAATGTTTTATGAAACCACAAAATACATATATTTTTCTTTTGACCTAAATTTGTACAGTCCTAGTGTAAGTGTTGTTTCTAATTGTAGATGTAAAATGAAATTTCATTTGTAATTGGGAAAAATCCAATAAAAAGGATATTCATTTAGAAAATAGCTAAGATCTTTAATAAAACTTTGATATGAAAAGCACAATGTGCAGAAGTTTTGGAAACCCTGTAGTGGATTACAACAGGTAAAAGCTAAAGAGAATACATTACTGTCTTAAATGGTGATGTTACTAAGTACATGCTTTGTTTGTAAATTGCTCAAGAGCCCATTGAAAGATGTATCTGTTTACTCTATCTTTGAAGTAAAAGTTACCGATGTTTGCCAGTTTTGGTGAATTTAACTCATTCTTCTAGGCTTAAGTTTTCCCTGATGTTATCTAGGACAAAGAAAAGTTAGTGAATCTTTCAAATGATATTTTTACTTTGGATGATCATGTGTGTAAAGAATGATAAAAATATTTTTTTCAAAGGCAAAAAATTAAATCCTGGTGGACTGTAACTTGACTCACATAGAACCAAGTTAAAAGATTGACACAGAACTCAAAACCTTGACATTTCAGCCTCATCTCGGACTGACTTTTGAAATTTCTTATTAAAATATGCATTTATAGTTTACTCAGCATTATTTCACTGAATGTGTCCATTTATTTGGGACAGAATATTTTTTACTCAATTTGAAAATTTGCTGAAGTTTAAAAGGATACTTTAGCTCAGATTTGTTTTTTAATAAGACAGGAGAAAGATGATCATGGTTTACATTCTTAATTAGCCACTACAGTTTTAACAATTCAGATTTAAAACTTGCTAAATTGCCACCTTCATGAAAACCCCCCTTCAAAGGTCCTAATTTTTATCAAAGTGGGGCCATTGAAAAGTCAGCTTTAAGGTTTGACTTTCTTCTAAAGTATTGTAGGATCCAGTAACAAAATTAGGGTTAAAATATTCTAGGAAAGATGGCCAACCTGATTTCACAAGTTTTTAACTTAAATGCAAAAAGAAAAATGAGGCTGTTTGCTATTGTGTAAATAGTGATCTATCTTGTTTAACACATGCATAGCACTTTACAAGTACTTCTTGCTTTTTAAATTGCCGGCCGTTAATTGTAGAGTTGAAAAAAGAAAGTTGCCCTTTAGTTGACTGATCAGTCAATCACATTGCTTGGTTTCCATATCTGTATGTGCAAATGTTAGGATCTGTGGAAGTAAAATGCAACTGAAAGAGTAAACTGGTAGAACTTTCAGGCTTTCCTTTCTCCAGTACTGTACAGTACTTGGAAGACTTCATCTGTGAAGTCTTGATTACACACATCTTTAGGCCCATCACGATACTTTTGTTATGCAATCTACATAGGAACTTAAATACCTGTGTGAAGTGCTACTTGCATTGACCAAGAAAAGAAAACGTTTGATCTTTTTAGGTAACTTACGACCTGTGGAGGGGGCGGATCTCAAAAACAATCTGCCTTGGAACCCAGTCTCTTAGAACCCTGGAGTGAAGAAAGGTTGCCCCTCATTTCTCTTAATTCTTTACAGGTTTAATAAGTGTCTCATATTGCTTTCTTCTCATTGAATCACGAAGGACAATTGGAAACTGATTTAGTTTAGTTCCCACATGCAATAGAGGCTCTTAACATATTTTGGAAATGATTGTTTCCCCCATGTAATCTTCCCTGTATTCTGTACAAAACTAAGGTTCTTGACCAAATTACATTAAAAATGACTAGACTTTTAGCAGCTTAAGTCTATATACCTAACAGGATACTAATTATACCCTTGTCTAAAACAGTATCTACTTATGAGCACCTAATTTGCAAAGAGGAGAGAACCGTCCTCTAATATACAGTTCCCAGGTTAGAGACATCATTTCACTTGAAGATGTTTCTTCAGGTGTAAGCTGAACACGACAACCGGTTGATTAAAGTCGCTCAAGAAAATTCTGACCCCAAAAAGAAAGTTGAACTAAACTGGGACGATAGACTCAAAGAGGTTCTGTACAGGAAGACAAAGACGGTATCACACATTCCAGTCTCCGGGTAACTCAGACTAGGGAAACAGCCCTGCCAAAGACCTTGAGTCAGCCGATCTTGCCCTGCAAATCTCAAGATCCCCCGGTTCTGATTATGAAAGTCTGAAAATGTTTACACAGTCGAGTGTTTCCTGTTTCCGCAGTTAATTTTTTTAAACGTTTTTCTTCTTTTGCTTCTTGAAACGGATTTCCTTTATTTGCACCAGTTTCTTTTTCTTAGTGAGCAATTTCTGAAGGTCTCACATGAAGAACTTCACTGCACACCCCCAAAGCAAAGTTGCTAGGTTGCAGCGCCGGGTGGAAGGGGCGCTGGACGTCTGCCCCGAGGGAACGACCTGCTTCTCATGGCCCCCGCGCTGCCTGCCAGGCCAGGCGGCCTTTGCCAACTCCATCAAGTCCACGGCATCGCCCTTCATCACTCGAAAGGCTACTCGGAGATCTTTGTTGAGTTTTTCTGCAGAAGTTTAAGGGGGTGCCTCACCCCGAATCTCAATGTAGACGAGAGTAGTCAGCCCTCAGCACAAATTTCCAGAGGATTTAAATCTGTCTCATTTTTCCGACTCTTTACTTAAAAATGTTTTCCCAAAGATTATCCAGAAACAACATACAAAAACAGCAAGTAGGTGACTCAGAGTCAGAGTCACCCACATTTAAGTAAAAATATTCTCTGTTGCTCTACTTCCTGGGTTATTACAAGGTGCAGACTTCACAGGGAACAGGATTTCGAGACGCGTGGCTGGGATTCGAAGACCCCCAGCTCTGTCCTCCGGAATCAGCTAGGTCGCGGGGTGCGAGGACAAATTTACTCGGGACGTTACTGGCCGGGCGACTCGGGAAACGTGTCGGAAATGAGAGTGGAGGAATGCGGACGCTACAGAAACGGATGGAGGTGACTGCAGTTAGAGGAGTCAGGGGAAGAGCTAGTCCGGTCTAAATGCGCGAAGACAGCCCAACAAAGAAGAGTGCAGCTCCGGCGGCGAAAGCCCCCGGGGCGGGGTGATCGGCGCGGCGGGAGTGGTGGCGGTTCCCCTCCTCCTGCCCCAGAGGCTTCCAGGTTGCAGCGCCCGGCGGA